TTTCACACCACTGTATATATATATATATATATACACACATATATATATATATATATACACACACACACACTCATATATATATATATGGGCCATTCTACAGAATTGGTCCAAAGTCAGAGTTGTAAACATCTTCAAAAAAAATGATGCCTTTTTCTAAAAAATTTGCATGCATGCAAATTGTATAATATCCAAGGTGCATATGCAACTATTATTATTTCATATTGTATTTCCAGAAAGTTTTAGAATATTTGTCCTCTCCCCAAATGTGTAACTACCGAAACACACAGTAATAATAATTTAATTAGAAGGGGTATTAAGATTTTGCTTACATCGTCATTGTAAATATATATTTTTTGCTATTTTATAAAAAAAAAAAATGGAGGTAAATTAATAAAAAAATTTTTTTTAACAATATTTCAAGTGTAATTTATGAGATTTGTTGTATTTTGAACCCAATTTTTCTTTGTAAAAGGCAAAAAGTTGATCATACAGATTAAGGATTCATTAGTTCGAATAAACACTGAACCAAAAACTATCATAACATCTTAATTGATAATTCAGTATTCTTGATTTTAGACAAAACATACCATGTTTTGGTTGTGACTGCACATTTTCGGTTGTGACAGTAATGTTTTGGTAGCAACCACATCTCCTTACAGAATTTTAACTCGCATACTAACTGAAACGTAGTAAAATTTTGTTTATTTCCCCCAAATAAAGGATTATGTGTTCCCTTTTGTCACTACCGAAACAATTATGGCATGTTTCGGTCGTGACTGTTACGGTAGTGACAATTTTAGATGCTTTTTGGCACAGTTGTATGCACATAAAAACTCCATTTTATGGAATAACACCCCTAAAAAAAAAATGATGTCACAACCGAAACTTCACCGAATATTTCGGTCGGGACTGTTTCAGTAGTGATAATTTTAGATACTTTTGAACCTAGCTCAAAGATGCTAATCAGCACATGGTTAGCTAGCCGAGTTCTGAACAGTGGTACACAAAAACTAAATGTTATCGAATAACACCCCAAAAAAAGTGTGCTTAATTGCAGAAAAAAGGTGTTTGGAAGTGACATTCCTTAAAGTTACAGACTTTTGAACACATTTATCTCAAAATGATGGGACCTATCTATGTACTTAAAATCAGTCTCAGCCAATGGACTAAAACATACACTTTTTCCATTGTGACATTTTTATTTTTACATAAAGTTTCATAATTTACAAAGAAATTGAACTTAATTTTATTTATTTGTTTAAATATATCTTTTAAAAACAATATAAATTTCATAAGTTGAAATGTAAGGGTTAAGGTTCAGGACAGCTATATATAAAACAACTCTATGTTTGTGTACATAAAACAGATTTGAACCCAATTTTTTTTTTTTTGGTAAAAGGGAAAAAGTTGATCATTCTGATTTCAAAGTTAAGGATTCATTAGTTTGAATATACATTGAACCAAAAACTAGCATAACAACGTAGTTGATAATTCAGTATACTTGATTTTTGACAAAAGATTCCATGTTTCGATACTGACAGTAATGCTTTGGTAGCGACCACATCACATTACAGATTTTTAACTTGCATACTAAAACACTACTAAACATACTAAAATACTAAAAAAATCGCATAACTGTACTAATATTTTGTTTATTTCCCCCAAATATGAGGATTATGTGTTCCCTTTTGCCACTACCAAAACAACGATGACATCATTGTCATGATTACACAAATTTTCATAACTTACAAAGAAAATATAAAATAAATATTTTTTTAAACTTCACTTTTTAAAAGAATCAAAAAGATACTTTTAAAAACAACAGTGGAAAAAAATACAAAAATGATTTCAATATCATTTTCATAAGTTGAAAGTTAGGGGTTAGGGTTAGGGACAGCCCCCTCCCAATTGAAAGTACCCAATAAATGAGGATTTTATATATATTAAGCTTAATAATATTTTAAATATTATTGTAGGTTTCAATAGATAATAGAAGGATATTTGTAAACATCTAAGATTTGAATACTTAAATGCTTTTTAAATGTGTTTTTTGGTTGTGGGATAGCAGTTTGCACCAATTCTTGACCATTTATATACATATATAAAATAATAATAGAAAGGCCAAACTCGAACGCAGTTTGCAACTTGCTTTGCTCAACGATTTTCTGGTGATGCTTGTACTTAAATTTTGGTCTTAAGCGTAATATTGCATGAAGATCTTGAGGCGCGGCAAGAAAGTTTCCAGTGTCCCACTAAAAGTCCCCTGCTGATAAATAGGTTACTGTAGCTGAAAGAGATTGAAGGTTTCGCCTGACAGAAATAAGTCCTTATGCAAGCCATTTAGGACTGAGGCTGCTTTCCCATAGTGTGTTTGAGAAGAGCACAGGACACAGTTTATGGATTTAGAAAAATCCTAAATCTGTCATGGTGGGATGATATTGCTTCACCAGAGCTGAAATATCTGACATGCATTACTAAAATAAAATAAATAAATAAATACCTGCGGTTTGGATCAAGCCCAGCGCACTCCGAAGGAGATGTTGAATTATTGAGCAGCTGTGGAGGTTATTGGATGTAAACAGTGTTTGGCAGCTGAGCTGTAGCTGTCAGTTTAGCCGCTGGTTTCCTTCATTCAAACGCTGACATCTGGATTCTGTCCACACTCTTCAGGAATACAAACCTGCTAAAATACGTGAACAGCAACACGACATGCTTGACACGACATATATATATATACACTACCGGTCAAAAGTTTGGGATCAGTAAGACTTATTTGATCACAAATACAGAAAAAAACTGTAATCTTGCAAAATGTTATTACAATATAAAATCTATTTTAATATCCTTTAAAATATAATTTATTTCTGTGATGCAAAGCTGAATTTCCATCATCATTACTCCAGTATAAAGTGTCACATGATCTTCAGAAATCATTCTAATATGCTGATTTATTATTAGAATTATCAACAGTTGTGCTGACAAATATTTTTTGCAAAGTAAACTGCGATACTTTTTTCAGGATTCTTTGATGAATAAAAAGTTAAAAAGAACAGCATTTATTCAAAATATAAATCTTTTCTAGCAATATAAATCTTTGCTATCACTTCTTAACAATTTAACACATCCTTGCTGAATAAAAGTTTTAATTTCTTTCAAAAAAGAAAGAATAAAAATGTACTAACTCCAAAATTTTTGAATGGTAGTTTATATTATTAGAAAAGATTTCTATTTTAAATAAATGCTCTTCTTTTTAACTTTTTATTCATCAAAGAATCCTGAAAAAAGTATCACGGGTTCCAAAACAATATGAAGCAGCAACAGTTTCCAGCTCTGATTATAAATCAGCATATTATACTGATTTCTGAAGATCATGTGACACTGAAGACTGGAGTAATGATGCTGAAAAAAAAACGTTTAATGTATATTAAAATAGAAAAACATTATTTTACATCATAATAATATTTCACAATATTACATTTTTTCCTGTATTTTTGATCAAATAAATGCAGCCTTGATGAGCATAATTTGAAACTTCTGTAAAAAACATTAGAAATCGTTCTTATCCCAAACTTTTGACCGGTAGTGTATATATAAACAAAAATACTACAAATGACAACGAACGAACACAACGAACTTACTAAAACTTTAAATAAAATGAAAATTATGTAAAATATTAATAATCGTAAAACTAGAATCATATCTCAATAACACAAACACACCTACAGATTTAGTGCTGATCACAATTTATACTGAGAAATTAGACTGAAAAGCAATGAGTAATAAAATTTGTAGAATTTAGTGCCTTGGTGTTTTAGCAATTAGTGCTGGACATATTAATACACTGTATTTTTTACATTTGTAAATAACCCAATGATCATTGAAATACATTTGACAAGAAAATACTTTCAGTCTTTCCACTTCAAAATTTGAATGATTATTTCAGTAACACTTTATTTTGATAGTCTACTTTACAGTAGACATTCTACTAACAGTAAGTAACTTTGCAACTACATGTCAACAAGAATTGTTTTCTAAAAACAATTTTTTTGTCTTGTTTTCAGCCAAAATATCTAAAATCTTCTTAAATCAAGAAGGATTTTCTAGACAAGTACAAATTATTGTCTTGTTTTTAGAAAAAACAAGTCAAAATTAAGTGAGTTTTTGCTTTGAACAAGCAAAATAATCTGCCAATGGGGTAAGCAAAATAATCTTATTTCAAACAGAAAGAATGATTATTTTGCTAACCCCATTAGCAGATTATTTAGCTTGTTTCAGGCAAAAACTCACTTAATTTTGACATGTTTTTTTTCTGAAAACAAGAGAATAATTTTTACTTGTCTAGAAAATCCTTCTTGATTTAAGAAGATTTTAGATATTTTGGCTGAAAACAAGACAAAAAATCTAAGTAAGAAAAGCATTTTTTGCAGTGTAAAACATTTTATTCCTAAAAAACTTAATCTGTTTGCATCTGTATTTCAATTTCAATCCATACGTTTAAAGAGTTTTTTTTTTTACCTCCATTTCAGCGGCACTTACAAACGTTTTATTACAAACTTTTTATTCCTATCTGTATTCTGAAGGATTTAACTGAAGGGTTTGTTCATATATCATTTGCATGGTTTTATTTTTGCACTTTATAATATTTTTCTTATTTACTGTATGTAACATTCCTAAAAACTTTATCTATTTGTGACTGTGTATTTCACATACAATACAATTTTTTAAAGGCTATGAGTTTTTTCTCCACTTCAGTAACAGTTACATACACCAAAATTTACAGTTTTATTCCTATCTATATTCTGAAGGTTTTTACAGAAGGATTTGTTCATATATCATTTGCCTGGTTTTATTTTTACACTTTGTCTATTTGTGTATTTCAATTCCAATCCATATCTTTAAAAGCCGTTTTCTAAAAATGAGTTTGTTTCTCCACTTCAGCAGCACTTACAAAGACCAAAATTTACTGTTTTATTCTTATCTATATTCTGAAGGTTTTTATAGAGGGGTTTGTTCATAGCATTTGTCTGGTTTATATAACAGAACTAAAACTTTTTATTTGCGACTGTAGATTTCAATTCCATAATTTCAATTCCATATCTTTAAAAGTTTTCTTCTCCACTTCAGCAGCACTTACATACACCAAACTTTACAGTTTTATTCCGCTCTATATTCTGAAGATTTTTAGTGAGGGGTTTGTATATAACATTTGCCTGGTTTATGTAACATTATTAAAACTTTTTATTCCTAAAACATTATCTATTTGCGATTGTAGATTTCAATTCCTTTCCATATCTTTAAAAGTTTTCTCCACTTCAGCAGCACTAACATACACACACCAAACTTTACAGTTTTTTTCCTCTTTATATTCTGAAGATTTTTACTGAGGGGTTTGTTCATACATCATTCACAACGATTTATACAACATTGTATTCCTAAAAACATGATGAAAATTTACTTTTTTCTGTCTGATGATAGTATTTTATGATTTATGGAGTAACAAAAAGAGAAATCAAATGCCCCCTCTGTAAAAACCTTGAACTCTCATATGTCAACAAAATCAAACAAGAACCTGGCTTTTGAATGTACTGTGATGAATCAAATAGGCTACATATGTTGATATCTATTAGTTAACATTTTACTCTATTTACCTGTGGTGTCTTGGTTTATAATTTGTTGTAATACATATTGGGACCAAACAACACATTTCCTTAAGGAAATTACTTACAAATGTAGCCATGTTGAACCCTAATCTTGAGTTTATGAATTTGTGGAGATGTTCAGTGGAGGTCAAATTCATTTCTAGCTCAGAGTTGAAGTGTTCAATGGAGAATAATCCATTGCATTTGTCTTCCCTGTGATCTCCTCAGTTCAGAAAGTGTTTGGTTCAGCTCTTGAGCTGCAGTGACGTCACCGTCATCGAGGGGAACATCAACCAGACCACCGAGCGCGCAGGCATGACCAATGAGAGCAACACAGGAGAGATGTCCGCCATCGCTGGAACCGTCCCACCTAAAACAGAAGAGCATCCCAATGAACGCAGCTCCTGTGCCCAAATTCCCATTCCTGAGAACAAAGTATGTCCGATTTGAAGACATGCGCCAACACCTTTGTTTGTCACTCAATGCATATTATCTTTTGAATGCTGGCATCAAACTTTAGTCTAAAAATCATTGATCCAGCATTAAATTCTGCAGCTTGTGCGCTGAAAAAACACTGAAACATGCAGTGTTGGGGATGAAACTACTCTCTTAATTCACTACAAAAACAAGAAGGTGGTTAAAGAGCGATATCTTTCAAAATATAATTTGCATTTATTTGAAAGCTTTATTTAGCAACAATTTCACAAATATGGATGCAAAAAGTAAAAAAAGAGATTAATTTGCAATACAGGCCTTTATGTATAATGCATTATACAGGTATTCATATTGTATTGTAATGCATTAAATATTTTCATAATTGTAACCAAAGTTAAAAATGCATTATATTTGCATGATTGCTTGTTATAGCTGAAATTGGTTGTTTGTCATGTGTTTTAATGCATTACACTTTTTAAAGGTGTAACATTGAGTAGATATATATAACTGTTAGTATTATATTATTATATTATAGTATTATGTAAGTATTATAACTGTGGTTACAATTATTCATGATGTCATTACAAGTTGCATTAAAAAGCATAATTAATCCATTAAGATGCTTTTATAAAGCAAATATAAAAAATATATTTGTGACTTTTTATCTCACAATTTGGACTTTTCTTCTCAGAATTGCGAGTTTATGGCTCACAATATTGATTTTTCTCTCTCTCTGAATTCTGAATTTGCATTTTGCACTTTTTTTGTTTGCAAAATGCAATAAAAATATAAAAAAGTTAGTTGTGACATACTTTTATAATCCATTATATAAAGGCTTCAAATAATGTGTCACCACTAATACCATCCTGAAACTATCCTCATTTTTCTTTTATGCTAAAAATCATTAGGATATTAAGTAAAGATCATGTTCCGTGAAGATATTTTGTAAGTTTCCTACTGTAAATATATCAAAACTTAATTTTTGATTAGTAATATGCATTGCTAAGAACTTCATTTGGACAACTTTAAAGGCGATTTTCTCAATATTTTGATTTTTTTGCACCCTCAGATTCCAGATTTTAATTGATGTATAAATCTCAGTTTCAAAAAAATTGACCCTTATGGTTTTGTGGTCCAGGGTCACATATTAAACCATGTTATTTACGTGGAACGCCAAAGAACTGCAAAGAATTCAATGGAAGAATCATATGAACACAAATGTTTAAATGCAGTAAACCTATGTGGTCTAAAGTACTGCATTTTTTAACAGCTGAACTACTGGAAAATGCATTTATATTCAGTTACTCCCCAACACAGCATAAATGACTACTGACTGTTGAATGTTGATCATCAGTTACACTGAACTTTTAGGCTACTTCACTGCAACATTTGCACAATTATTAAAGAAATCAAACAGAATGCAAATCAGTCAGGCACTTAACACAAGATTACATGTGTATTTTCAAAATGAAGGGAATAAGTCAACATGCAAACAGACAAACAAGCCAAAATTACAAGTGCCCTTCAGTGTGGCAACCGCTGGCTGCCAAACTCAGAGATTCTGCCAACGGTTATGTAACGCTCTACGTTTGCAAGTACGTCCCCGACATCTTGAATCTCCTGCACTGTTATCTTTATCCTGAAAGTCACTGGCATATTTCACTGTATCTTATGCATTATATGTTTATTGTATGCTCTGATCTCTGCCAGAGAAACACACACACAAGCTCTGATGATGCAGCTTTCTCGACAACTGAATGCGTTTTTATTTTATTCCTTTATGAAAGGAAAATCAAAACTCAGATTTTTGAGTTCAAACAGATCATCTGCCAGAACACGGTTTCAGTTCAGCTGTTTGCACTTTTTTTAAAAATAAATTAACACTTATTTATCAAGGATGCATTAAATTGGTCAAAAGTGACAATAAAGGCATTTATAATGTCACAAAAGATTTCTATTTGAAATAAATGCTGTTCTTTTGAACTTTCTATTAATCTGTGAATCCTGAAAAATAAAATGCATCACAGTTTCCACAAGAATATTGGGCAGCACAACTGTTTTCAGCATTGATAATAATCAGAAATGTTTCTCGAGCAGCAAATCAGCATATTAGAATGATTTCTGAAGATCATGTGACACTGAAGACTGGAGTAATGATGCTGAAAATACAGCTGCGCATCATAGAAATAAATGACAGTTTAACAGATATTCACATAGAAAACAGCTGTTTTAAATTGAAATAATATTTAAAAATTTTTTACTGTATTTTTGACCAAATAACAGCAGCCTTGGTGAGCAGAAGAGACTTTTCAAAAACATTTAAAAAAAATCTTACTGACCCCAATCTTTTGAAAGTTTGATTTAAGGAAAATAATTTTGTCACTGCCAATTCATTTACATTTACATTTAGTCATTTAGCAGACGCTTTTATCCAAAGCGACTTACAAATGAGGACAACAGAAGCAATCAAAACTAACAAAAGAGCAACAATATGTAAGTGCAAATGACAAGTCTTGGTTTCACCATGATTGCCCTAGCAACCGCTTAGCAACACCCTAGCAACCACCCTGAGTACCCTAGCAACGGCCCTACCAACCATCCTGGGTACCCTAGCAACCGCCCTAGCAACCACTCAGAGTACTCTAGCAAATGCATAACAACACCCTAGCAACCACCCCGGGTACCTTAGCAACCACATAGCAACACTTTAGAAACCAGCCAGAACACCCTAGCAATGACATAGCAACCGCCCAGAACACCCTAACAACTGCCTAGCAGTACACTAGAAACCACTCATGCCAACCTGGCAACTGCATAGACAGTTTTAAATTCAGTTGTTTTCATGAGTGAACTGGACTGTACGTATAATGTATTTGTCACTCATTTAACTACTGCAGCATCGACTCTCCCGCTGACTGACGAACACACTAAACCCATTGAGAACTAGGACACTTGCACGCACCGTCGTCACACAGATATTGCTGAAACCATCACTCAGACGTCTAAATCTGGTGTCTACATCACAGAGATTGATTCTCTAAGGTTAGCGTGATGCATCAGTCCAACATCAAGAGGAGTTTCTTCACCAACTCAGTTCTGGCTTTGAATTTACATATAAACACAACTGTTTACATCGAGACAGTCTACAAATCCAATATTAGCACCTGCATAAGACAGAGCAATAACATTACATGTAGCATTAAATCTGGGCTTTACAGTAATTCAGATGATCATTGAAAGAAATAAAAGAGGCACCAAAAATGGAATTGCAAAAATAATGAGGTTTCCAAACATACGGATGCATGCAGAAGTCAGGCATTATTATGACACTTCTGCCTTATTTTCTTGAGGTCATCTTGACATGAGTGTTATCTTGAGAAGACAGAATGATAATACTGTGAGGTTTAATTGGGGTTGGTGTCGTGGATCAGATATAAGAGGGTCACTGAGGTTTATTGAGCCGCAGTCTTACACTCAAAGCACAACGGATGAACCGACTGTATTTTGTGTGTTATTTCTTCCAGATTCACTTCCAGAGTCTCTGTCAGCGATGCGTTTCTGTTTTCTGTCATGATGAACTCTCTCGAGTCGTGTTTAAGATTCACTGTTATATGTTCTGCTTGCATGTTGTGAATCAACAAATGTGTGTATTTCAGTAAACTGTTTTCCAGTGCACCCGCCGTCCATGTAAGATCTTTCTGTTGCATCAACATGAAATTAAAATCTTACTTTGTTAATTAATGTTTCTGATCTTGTGATTCAGTTTAAACCAAATGAATGCATTTTATGAGTTTGAGTTTTCAAACATGAATTAAATACCGCATTCTGTATCTGATACTGTAGGGTGGGATTTACACGAATGAAAGTTACATTTTCACCACAAAATAATTAAAAAAAAAAGGTAATTGTGACATTTCATTTACAGTTTAGACTTTTTTTCTCAGAATTGTGAGGTTACATCATACAATTCAGACTTTTCTTAGAATTGGAGTTTATATCTCAAATTACTGTTTTTTGTTTCTTTTTTTTCCCCGTAATGGAACAAATAAGGTAATTGCAAGTTTTTATCTAACATTATTGACTTTTCCCTCAGAATTTTACATCTTGCAATTCTGTTTAAAATAGATAAAAAGATAAGTGCAACTTTTTAATCTCACAATTTTGAGTGTATATCTCACAATTTTAATTTATAAACTCAAATGCGAGCTAAGATCTTCCAATTATGAGTTTCTATCTTGCACTTTAGATTTTTCTTCTCAGAATAGTGAGTTCACATCTTGCAATTTTCTTCCTATTTTCTCTGAATTTTGAGTTTATGTCTCGCAGTTTTGGCTTTATTTTAATACATCTTGGAATTCTAAGTTTACATTTTGCAATTGTTTTTTTTTATAAAAATATAAAATATAAAAAATAATAATACAAATCTAAAAAAAAAGTAATTGTGACATTTTAGCTCACAATTCTGACTTCTTTTCTCCCAATTTCAAGCTGACTGTTTTCATCAAATTCTTTTCCTTGGAATTCTAACTTTATATTTTGCAGTGCTTTTTTTTAATAAAAAAGGTAATTGCTTTTTTTTTTTTTCTTTTTTATCAGAATTACATCTAACAATTCTGTTTAAAAAATTTAATGACATTACTTGCAACTTTTTAATCTCACAATTTGGACTTTTTTTCTTGGAATTGCAAGTTTACATCTCACAATTTGAAGTTATAAACTCTCAACTGTGAGTTAACATACAATTCTGACCATTTCTTGCAATTGTTTTTCTCAGAATTGAGAGATTTAAACTCAGAACTGAGAGAGAAAAAAAATCAACTCTGAGATAAAAGTAGCTTTTTAATTTTTTTCCATGGTAGAAATAAGCTTCCGTCCTGTATATATGTGAAGTGATCAGCTGAGGTAACTCTCAAGGGCTGATGTGAGTCTGTATCTGCATCATGATGGCAGAATCAGCGGCTCTGTTCTCTTGGCTGTGACTCTTCCTCCAGACCACACTGAATAAAACACACTCACCCGCCGGGACGATGATAAATGACACCAGCAGCCA